CAAGCAAGGACGTATTTAGATGATGATTCTAATAATAGTTCACAGAGAGAAACAAAAGGCCGCAAAAGTAGCTAGCTGCTTATAGATTCAAGGCATTTTCAGACAATAATATACATTTCGAAATTGGGTTTATTTACATTTACCGACATAAATCCCATTAGGGTGACAAATTATTAATGCATTCTCTATACCTGGCCTTCGATTCTGAAAATTATTGTGAAAAAAAAGGATTTAACACTGACATAATTAACAACTATATGTCGGTTGATTAACATAATTAACGGATATTACGGTTATAATTAACATTAAAAAAGCATATGACCCTACCATGAGTAACATTAAAAACATTGATTTGATGCGGTGAAAGAGAAGATAATTCGTATTATATTGAGCAGCAAAATGGGCAAAGGAGAAGAGACTAAATATGGCCAAAAGGGCATAGGCTGATGATTTACCATAAAACAATCCCAATTCTCAACAAAAGGAGAAAACCCAAACTGAAATTTTCAAAATCTATACATTGTATTGTACTCTCTTTTCCCATAAAACAAATGGGTAAATTATAGAAAGAGATCTCCTAAAATAACCATCAACTTCACATTATCCATTGCAAGAAGGAAAAAGAAAAAAAAAAGACTTCACATTTAAGGACTCATCAATTCAGGAGGACACAGGAGCGTTGTGGGTACCCGAGGATGCTGATGTACTTGCATTCTTTTGTTTCGAAGCTGTCGAGCTTGAAGGCACGGTTGTTTCAGGTACATCGCCAATGTCCAGTGTGTCTGGGAGGTATTCTTGAGCTTCAGAACTGTAAATCTGTAGGAAACAACATCAACAATTGTCATTTAGCTTTAGCTTTGTTTGATTCTTAGCTGTAAAATTAATAATGATGCATTATAAGAACACGTTTTCTTAACCCCTGGATTCAAACACAAACAAAAAATACTTGCAATCAACATACTATGATGTAAAAAGTGTGTGAGATGGGATAGTGAATGAATTTACCTCGAGCTGATTAAGCATTTCGATAGTAGCATCAAGATCACCATTGTTGGCCAAGTAAACATCATTGATAGATTCATGTGAAAGACCAGAATATGTAACTAGAAGGTA